TATTTAGTTGCTTAGGGGATATTGAACATATACCAGGCACCTACACCCATAAGTACTTGGCCAACACAAACTGGACTTGATGGAGAGAGAGAAAGAGGCAGAGACAGAGACATAGAGAGACAGAGACAGACACACACACACAGAGACAAAGAGATGGAGAGACAGAGGCAGACACAGAGAGCCAGAGACACAGAGAGAGACAGACAAAGAGAGAATATGAAGTTGGGTGTGGAAGTGGTAGAGTATCTGGGAAGTGTTAGGAAAGAGAGATAAACATGATCAATATATATTGTATTAAAATTTCAAAGAATAAATAAAACATTAAAACTAACATGAGCCTTGCAGCCTGAGGAGCTACCTCCTCTGTAGAACATTCTTCAGGGGCATCAGGTGATCAGCATCTCTGTGACTCACAGGGCTCACCTTTGATCTTGTCCTTCCCTTGCCTCTTAACCCATAGCCTGGAAGTACCTTCAAGCTGAGCAAATGCACTGTGTTTATTCCTGCGTACAGCCACACTTGTTGGAGTGCCATATCTCCCTTCTATATGACATCTGCCTGTCTTAGTGAGATCAGGTGACAGTCCAGCAAGATCCCCCGAGTCCTCTGAAGAGTCTCCATTTACACAGTTTTATCACTATGACCATGAGTAATAGCATGGAACTCTTTCATTGTGTGCTTGTGCTCTGAACTCTGTATATCTCAATGTGCCTTAAGTACATAATGCTGATAACCTGTTGTAGGTGGCGGATATATAGTATTTGCTGTGTAATTACTGTTGTGATGTGCATAGTTACAGTATGAAAAGTATCAGAGATGTCGAGTAACTGCTGTAGATTACACAGTTACCGGATTCTGTGATATTTTCCCATTGTCCTACCAGCCCTATAACATAGCATTACATTTCCTCCTGGTTTCTGCACCTAGCCACTGTGGCTCCCATGCCCCATCCTTAAGAAGCAAACCAAGTCAAGTTTGTAGGGCAGAGGAATTAGGAGCTCAAGGCCACCCTGGACTACAAGAGTCGCTGCCTCAGAAAAATAACAACAGCAACAAAATTAAAACAGAATAACCATAAAAGTAATCAAAACAAATCACAAGCAGCAAATTCATCTTTCACCAGAACATTTGCACTGGGTTCTTTTGGAATGCCTTTCCTTGCTTGTAGAGCTGTTTCTTGCTTTTCAATGTTTGGCACTTCCCAGAAGTCACTCTGGACCACTCTGTCTAAAACTGTCCCTACTAGCTTGTGTGCTATGAGTGCTCATGTATGCTGTTCATTGTGCTTACATTTCCTGATATTTTTATCACCCGCTTGTGTGCTTGTTAAGCAAAATCATACCACCACAATAGACCCTTCCTGTATGCAGTGACTTGTCTGTTGCTCTCAGCTACGTTTCAGGACCTATAAAACCATCTGACAGTGGGCACTGAGGAGGACCTGAATGGGTAAATTACTTGAGCATTTAAACTTCTAGCATCAATTTTGTGTAACCTCTTACAGTGCTTAGTAATTATAGTTTATACTATATCACTTACTGTTATATATTTATGGTATTAGGTCTTTTTGGTTTGTTTTGTTTTTTGAGACAGGGTTTCTCTTTGTGGCTGTGGCTGTCCTTCTGTAGAGTCTTTCTGTAGAGCAGATTGGCCTTGGACTCACTACCTCTGCCTCCCTGAGCGCTGGAATTAAAGACATGTGCCAACATGCCCAGAATGATCTTGTGATTTATACTGTTTATTTAATCACTGATTCATATGAAGTAGTGTTATGCCAGGTTCACGGGACCCTCAGAGACCACCAGGAGACGACTCAATGCAATAGCAAGAGAGCTTTATTATAAGAGCGATTGAATTTGGGACCCAAGTCTCACTGATGCAGCAGTAGAGAAGTGGGACCCCGAGCTCTGAGTGAACAGGAAAAAAGGGAAAAGTCTGTGAGCCAGGGGTTTCCATGGCAGCAAGCAGGGGGGCACAAACCTTGGTGTTACAGAATTGGGTGAAGTTTAGCAGGGCGGGTGACCTTTTCTGAGGCACACAATCACAATGGCTAAGGCATATAATCACAGTGGCTATTTTTCTAAACCATATCTGAAACATTGGGGAGAATTTTCCTACCTGATTCTCAACTGATTCCCATTGATTATTGCCAGGGAATTTGTCTCTATTTTCTATGAAGCATTTAATTTGTTATATTTCCTGGAGCTGTTGCTAGGAGAGTTAACTTTGTTTTCTGCCAGGTGTACATTCTGTGATATTTCCTGGTACCTGAATTCAGTTCACAGTCAAGATCTTTATTTCAAAATGGAGTTATATTCAGGCTATCTTAAGCTCTTCAGTAGTGGCTGTAGCTTTCTGGCTAGAACTTGTGGGCAATGGATGTTTGCTTTTCCTATTTTTATCCTGCAGAGGGCATATCCTAAAAAGCCTCTCACCTAATTCAGAGACAGAAAGTGGGTACTCAGTGTACCTTTTCTCTGCTGTTTTGGGTCTTACTCTTCCTGAGTCTAGAATAGTATTTGAGTCATGTCTTAACAGGTGCTTGAGTTTACCCAGCTTAGGTCCTGAGGGCTTTGTTCAGATTACCTGGGGCTTCTAGGTCCATAGTCTATCTGGACTAGACATCACTAGAGGCCACAAGGCATTCAAAAGAAATTGACTCCTTCTTGAGATTATTTTTTACTTAGTTGCACTGAATAACCATTTGGTGGAGAGAGGTCTGGAAAGAGTGTTGAATGGTTGATCACACGTTTTGTGTGTGTTTGTTTAAATATTTTAATATATAAGGACTTATTCAGAAATTGTCTCCAGAAAAGAGAAGAATTACTCTGGTAATGTATCAGACCATAGATAATGTAGAGAAATTAGGATGACATAAAAAGACAGACATATAGGCTGACACAAAAAGAAACACACACGAGCTGGTGATTCTAAACACAGACACTTATATTACAGAAGAGGATTTAAATTGTTGAAGAATACACAGTATCAACATCCTTAAACACCCCCCCCCAAACAATAGAAGTAGTGCTGAAGGGGGTGGCTAAGGCAATGCTTGCAAGCAGGGGCTTGACAACCCTATAAAATAGAGATGTGGTGATGAGCATTTATAGTCCCAGCACTGTAGGAGGAAACAGGAGGATCCCTGAAGCTCACTGGCTGCCAGTCTAGCCTAATTGTTGAGCTTCAGGCCAGTTGAAGGAGGTGACATTCCTGGGGATGACATGTAAATCTGTCCTCTGGCCTCCATATATATATACACCCATAACACCATCAGGCACACACACTTGCATCAAAAGGATGGAAATAGAAAATGAAGAAAATAAAAATTTAAGGGCAACATAAAATGAATTTTGATCATAGTCAAAAAGTTCATTTCATATAAAAAATATATATATTTAGGTGGGCTAGAAATTTGCCTTTCTAGCTGGGTGTGGTGGCACACACCTGTCTGTAATCCCAGCACTCTAGGAGGCACAGGCAGGTGGATCACTGTGAGTTTGAAGCCAGCCTGGTCTTCAAAGTGACAGCCCAGGACAGTCCAGGTTACACAGAGAAACCCTGTCTGGAAAAACCAAAACCAAAACCAAAACCAAAACCAAACCAAACAGAGAGAGAGAGAGAGAGAGAGAGAGAGAGAGAGAGAGAATAAATTGGCCTTTCTGGCCATCAACCTCAAAACATTTATTGAGATTTGAGAGATAATGAATAGAAACTGAGTGTTTCTGATACTGACACATTCAACAACAGGTAAAGAGAGGCCTATAGCTAGGAGCAGCTGGCTCATTAATACAAATTCCTACTTGGAATGCAGAAGCAGGCGGATCTTTGAGCTAGAGGCCACCCTGGTCTACAGAGAAACTCAGCTCAAAACCAAACCAACCCAACCAAGCAACCAACCAACCAAACAAACAAAAACCAAAAACACATTCCTAAGCACAAACTTATTTTGAATTATTTTTCTGTTTTCACTTTCATGAGACACTGCTATGGAGACTAGACTGGCTTAAAACTTTCATTGGTCTTGTGTCTGCCTCTTCATAGCTATTATTACAGATTTTAGAATACTTTACTCAAAGTGATCTGAGAAAGAAAAGATCTTCATTTTTTTTTCTTTGTTTTTTTTTTTTTTTTTTTTTTTTTTTTTTTTTTTTTTTTTTTTTTTTGAGACAGGGTTTCTCTTTGTCCTGGAACAGGCTGTCACTCCAGCCAATCAATATTTCTTTTCCCAATATAATTTTATTCTAGTGTTTGTTTCTGTTTTGTGTGTGCGTGTCAAGATATGTATCCAGGCTGACCTCGAACTCCTATGTAGTGAAGGGCAAATTTGAACCCCTGATTTTCCCGTTCCCATCTTCCAAGAGCTGGTTTATTCTGGAACAGTAAATAACAAATGTCATTTTGAACTGCCGTCTGCACTGGGAACTTGGAATCACTTGGCTTTTGGAGCAGGCGAGAGTGAACTGCAGTGTGGCAAAGGACCTGAATCATCACCCAGCATGCTTGGGTGGTTGGTTCTGCAGGTCTGCTGGGGGAGGTGCGATTGACAGGGCTTTTCATGAGCACAGGTTGTAGGATTGGCTAGGGTCCTGTCACTGGAGTCTGTGTGCCCAAAAATGTGGCGAGAGAGGCGATGAGGAAAGGAGGTAGGCAGCAGCCAATCCCTTCCTTCTTTGCTGGGAAGATCCTTGAGGTGTGCACGCGTTCACTTAACAGAGAGCACTGGAGTTCAGCGGCTAGGCAACAGAATCCGTAATTGGCAGGTGAAGAACTGGGAACCTTCCGGGTTGGAAAGCTTGAGACAGGCAACCGCTCACCTGACTTAACCGCTTTGCCAGGCGACAGAGGGGGCAGTTGACTGTACACTGAAACACCGCCTCCATGGATGCTCCTGTGGTGGGGTGGAGAGACTTGGCTGGCTTTATTTCATAGTTTTCCCGGGTCAGGAGGTGGGGGCGGCGGGGGAGGTGGGCAGGACTGGCTGGCCACTTGGCCCGAATATGAGGAAGATCTTTTGGTCCAAGAGAAGGGGCCTGGCCCCTGGCAGCTCCTCCACCGGCCAGTGGATCACCTGCCTGGGCTGTGGGTGTGTTAGTGGTGATAGCCCCGAAGTGCCCAGATACCTCACCGGATACTGTGCGGTGGGACAGATCCACCGGGCTGCGAGTGTAGGCGCTGTAACTACAGTGGAGAGTTTTCTCACTTTCCGGGTAAATGGTGTGAATGACACAGACAAGAGGAACAGGTAATAGAACCTGGGAGTGGGTAGGAGCAAAGGGTGAAGTGGCTGTTTTTGGCAGACGAGGCCGACAGGGGGAGTGGTTGAGTCAACTGAGTCAGATGTGATTATGATGAGGGAGAGTTTCTCTGTGCAATGGAGGAGTTAGCTGTAAGTCAGCAACTCCCAATGTTTTGTTGTGAAAGAAAGCGGGACATCATAGGCTATGTAGATACACTGCCCAATGTGTGCACCAAGGAAAGGATAGTGAGGCTCTGCTTTTTCACATTAACTGCTAGAGGACTGGTCAAATCTAGGCCTGAATGTGAATTTCTCCTTATCCTGAACAGTGGGCTAGTTCAGATCGCATTCACCAGTTCCAAGAGAAGAATTTTGGGGAAAACGTGAGAATTTGGATACTCCTTAAAGTTTTCTTAAGTGTTAAGTGTACCTTTAAAGTCGAGATACCTGAATTGAGGTGGGAATGTGCATGACATAAAGAATAGCCCAGGTTACCTCTTTTCTCTACCATTCATGAGTAGTAGAACTGGGGGAAGACTTGAAAATTTTTATTCTCCTCTGTGTCATGATACGATCCATGGTACCTTACACTAATGAATAATGGAGGATGTGTTAAATTATTTTTTTGTATGTTGAGAAACATTGAAAAAGCTGCTAATTCTAGTTATAAAATGTCGCAAATTGTAAGTGGAATTCTGATGTTATAGATACTAAAAATGTGAAATAAAGAGCAATTTAAGAAGACACAATGTTCATTGGTCTGCAATGCTAGCTAGTTGAAGATGTCATAGATACTAAAGATGTGAAATAAAGAGAGCATTTTAGGAAGACGCAATGTTCATTGGTCTGCAATGCTAGCTAGTTGAAGGCAGAGATACAATTTCAAGACCATTCCCATTTGAACATGTACCTGACCCTTCTGCAGTTAAAACTACAGTTATTTAGATCTGTAATTCTCGAGCAGGAGAGACTGGCTCAGCAGCTAGAGGTGCTTGCTGCCAACCTCGACCCCTTGACTTCCATTCCTGGGACCCACATGGTGGATGAGGACTGACCTCCTCAAGTTGCCCTCCGACTTTCCTACACTCAGTAGCATGAGTGAGCGTGCATGCACACATGTGAACACACATGCATTCTATGCTACTCTTTCACTTCATTGAAATGTTGTATTTGTTAGCAGTAGGAAGACTGATCATCACTCTATCACCAAACATTCAGCTGTCAGGTGCTGGCAACATTTGTGCACACCTTGTACAGATTTAAGGGGAAGCGTTGCAGGAGCACCGTGTAACATAGCTACTGTTTAATGCCCCCCCCCTTCATGTGGATGAGGAAGTTGAGTTATGGAGCACATGGCAGTAGCTAGAAGGTAACAGATTCGATTAATTCAAATCCAAGCCGAGACAAACCTACTGGGCTTTCTTCTTTTACTCAGCAGGCTACTCCAAGCATGGAGGTAATCATGATTGAGCACTTACCCTGAATGGGGCAGGCCTTGTCATATGACTCCAGAATTGTAAGGAATGAGGGAAAGAAATGATCTTCCTTCAGAAAAAATTAATTATATAATATCTAATTTTTAAAATTATGTGCATACATGTGCTTCAGCATAGGTCTCCATTACCTCCTAAAAAGTCCTCTTATTTTCACAGAACTGCTCTGCATTATGCTTGTGCACATGGCCATCTGGGAGTGGTAACTCTTCTAATAGAGAGGAACTGTGACATTAATGCCTGTGATGATGACAGCTGCACACCTCTAATTAAGGTAGATAGACAATGGCTAACAATTTCAGTATGAGATGGATGAGACGTAAATGCTTGGACTTGGTGCAGTGGAAAACGCCTAGCACAGAAAGTCATAACTGGTCAAATGTAGAGAATAAGTAAGTGTCTGTGGAGTGCTTAGCCCCAAATGGGACCTCTGTATCACACTCCTTCCTGGAAGGCTCAGGGAACATCTCAAGACAGAAAGCTGAAATGACCCAAACCAATAGAAATAAGGGGCTCAAGTGGAGGAGCAGGAATGAGAAATAAAGGAGACAAGAAGCAAAGCTGGGACCAGGAGATCTTGCATAAGCTGATGACTCATCCCAAGAAGGTTTCCTAAGAAGTATACACATACACACACACACACACACACACACACACACACACACACACCCCATATATATACCATTTTCAAGGGTGAAAAGAGCCAAGTCAATATTGGCAATGAGAACATGACATACCTCAGACACAGCTGCCAAAGGACTGATTACCACAGTCTAGGAGGAAGAGTTGGGTTTCCAAAAGCTTCAACTTCGACTCTTTTGAGGCACTGGCTCCATCCCTACACTGTCTTGGGAAATCCACTCCTGGACAAGGATACAGAACAAAAGTTCCCTTTGTCTTTTCATCAGGATCTCTGAGGAAGTCTTGGGTAGGTCTGGTTACCTACACTTAGAGATTGTGAGAGCCAGAGGTCAGGGAGGACCAGATTGAAACAGTGTCTTGTGGGCATGACAGGACTGAGGTACTCATGAACTCACAGAAGCCAGGATTCCCTGCCCAAGACCTGAACAAGATCAAGCATTCTAGCATGGAGTGCGAAATTGTTTCATGCGCCCCATCTTTAACTTAGGAGCCAAGGGCATTTGGTGGCTTCTGGGGAAGGAGAGTCAGCTTTCTTCTCCTTCTTCTTCTTCTTCTTCTTCTTCTTCTTCTTCTTCTTCTTCTTCT